GGTAGGGAAACTATATAATTTATTGGACAAACCAAGGCACTTCTGAGAGTGAAGGGAAGTACTGTTAATAATTAGACCACAGCATAAGCATAAACTGTACTGTCCCAGGCAACTCGGATGTATCATCATCCTAGATGTAGGAAAGGCAAGACACTGTAACCCTATGTATATACATTTTATATGCATACATATTACCATGTGTGTATATGTGCATACATCTCTATACACATATACATATGTGTATGCTTCGTTATGAAGTGCTTTAAAATTTTTATTTTCCATAAGATCACAGAAAGGACTCTGGACAACTTCAGTGAAACATGTTCTTAGTTTTGCATCTTTTTCTAACCAGTAGATAACTTCGGGCAAATCTCTTCACTTCTCAGGTCCCTGTTTCTTCATCTTTTGAACACAGGTGCTGTACTAGGAATCTTTAGCATCCTCTCTGGCTTTATAGTTCTCTGGGATGACATTATGATTCAAAGACAGGACTAAACCCAGGCAGGTTGGGAGACCACTGACTTGAGACAGATTTTATCGCACACGTACATTATATGTACGTGTGTGTTGGCTCCCGGTGGCGGATTTGATATTATCAAAGCCGTAACAACAGAATGAATAACAGCAACAACCGTGTATGAGTGCGCATTATCTGCCAAGAATACTACTGAGCTCTTTATATGTTATTTCATTTGTCCTCACACAACTCAATGAAAGAAACATCACAACCCCATTTATGGATGAAGCCATCACTTTCATCAGCCACTCAGCTAATACCGAAAGCTTATCAAGTGCCAGACTTTGTTCTAGGTACTGAGGAAATCGTGACGAGCAGATTTAGTCGAGGTCTCAGACTTCACAGAATTTACTTTCTTTGAAAGTAAAGCCATGAGGAGTTTGTCGAGCTCTGATTCATTCCCAGCTGAATGGCAAGACCAGCTCCCAGAGCGATGCAGCCATCCATGGGAGGCCGTTGGCTCTTCACGGCTCCATCTCTGTGAGGTCTCAGAGCAGGGTCTGGCGCTGGGCCTGTGGTCATGGTTGGTGAGCAGGGCTGGACGTCTGCAAGGGGACTCAGACGTAGAATGAGGAAAACTGGGCACAAATTGGACCCTGCTGCCCTTGGCTTCTCTCCCTTATGACCTCTAACCAATGATGACCTTCAAAGCACAGTGACGACTCGCTCCCATCTCTCATATCTCCACCTGGTTCTTTTTTTTTTTTTTAGTTTCTATTTATTTATTTGAATGAGAGAGAGAGTTCACGATGCGACAGGGAGCGGTGCGGAGGGAGAGGGACAAGCAGACTCCGTGCTGAGCACAGAGCCCAACACGGGGCTCCATCCCAGAACCCTGAGATCATGACCTGAACTGAAATCAAGAGTTGGATGCTCAACCGACTGAGCCACCCCCCAACCTGGTTCTTTAAAGGGAGGGAATTCTGAGAAATCCAGCTCCGGTTTTGCTAAACTGACACAGCACAGCACCCCTGTATGGGCAATGGGGAGGTTTGGGTGGTGGTGAGTTAAGAAAGTCAGACAATAAACAAACATTAAAAAAAATAAAACTATCAGATACCAGCATGTAGACAATCACAGTGGGATGCTGTGCTAGAGCCACCGGCGGCCACTTTGGATGGGCATTGCAAAACTTTTCAGTCGATATGTGGAGAAGCAGAGCCGGACCCAGGCAGCGTGGCTCTGGGGCCAATTATTTTATCTTCCACACAAATTCTGCACAAACTTGAAGGATAATAATAATTTCTTGGGGGCAGAGGCTATGTCTTTAAAAAGCAAATTCTCAGGCACCTTGCGAGAACAGCGGGATCAGAATCTCAAAGTTCTGGAACTTGTGGTTTTAATAAGCACCTGGGGTGTGATTTAGCAGACCAGTTTAGGGAACACTGAACCAGTACTTCGCAAAAGGGTAATAAATTCCTGAAATGAACTGCTTGCATATTTCAGAAAAGAAGACCAAATTATCCCTGGGTAAGTTTGAACCACCAGCCTTTCAGCTAACAACTGAGTATACTAACCAGGTGCACCACAGAGACAATGCTGCGGCTTAACTATGGCTTTAGTTCCAACGGAGAAGTCATCTCTATGCACCATTTTGTCTGGAATAAAACACAAGCACCCAGCAATATGCACACACACACACACACACACACCATCGACTTTTCTGATTTATCATAAAAACTGTGTGTGTGTGTGTGTGTGTGTGTGTGTGTGTGTGTGTGTGTTCAGGAAGCAGAACCAGCAAAGCTTTTTAACTCCTCAAAGGTACTTAAAAAGCCCTGTGTTTAGACATCTCAGCAACTCCCTCATCCACCTGCGAGAGACATGTGAATGAAAATGTGCTTCATTTATATGGAAAGGCTTTCAGGCTTTAGAAGCACAAGCTGAAAGGCAAAACTTCACCAATAGCAATAGACATTCGTCAACATTAATGGAAATGTTCACTTCCCCCAGTGCTGAGGGCTTCCAGGGGGATTAATTGTTTAATATTTTCAAAGGACTTTGAAGATGAAAAGACCCACATAAAGGCTGAAAATGAACACTCACTTTATTTGCTTTTCTTATCCTGGAGTTGAATCTGCAGAGCCACCAGGTCTTTGAAGCAGCTCCAAGATTATAATAATGATGACCACCCTTGGACTGGGGAGAACAGAGAGAGCAGGGAGGAATAATTTACCCTTAGCTATAATTCCAGCGACTGCAAAAGCAAGGATTTTGGTATCACACAGAATCCTGACTCTCTACCACCTGCCAGCTGTGTGACCTTGGGCAAGTTACTTACCTTGTCTGAGGTTCTATCTCCCTAGCTGGAAAAATGGTGTAATTATATCTACCTGGTTATTGTCCAAGTTAGAGGTGTTTAAGGACTTAGGTAGTATCTGGCATATTTTTAGTACCTGTGCAATTAAAAGGATTGTTGCTATTGCCAATGTTTGGGGATATTCATAAATAAGGTTTCCAAGGCTTGATGCTGCAAAAACCAACACTGATCCTAATTAAATAAAAAAATGACAAAATGGGAAGATGAGCCAGGATGACCAGCCAGAAATCTTTTGAATCTTTTGTGGGTATGTGTGTGTGTGTGTCTAAGACTGAGCTGTTACTTACTTAAGATTAAATAACTTTAAATAGTTCTTTATTTCATAGTCACTTTATCTTTTTTCTTCCCGTATCCCAACTAATCTATAACATAGCTCTTCTATCGACTCCCACTTATGCCTTCGCTGTAATCTTTAATGTTACTGCAGTGTTTGGCAAAGTCAAGAACTTAAGAAGTTCGTTCTGTGAGTCGTTGGAGCAGCTCTGCATGGAATGGAACACAGTGATCCCCTACACTGTAATATACTGGAGGAAAGGAGGCACTTGGGTTTTAGGCACCTGTCTCTATCTCATTTAGACATTGGGGATTATCTTCCCACTTTTGCCACATCAGGAGCACTCCAGGGAATGAGGTGGGAGTTGGCAAGATGGGATAGGAAAACTACGCTATTTACTCTGCTTTGAATTCTGCTCAGCTTTCATCCAGGTGGGGATCCACTGAGCTCCACTGCCCAACTTCTATTGACTGTCCCCTTGGGTGGGAGGCTGCTCCTTCAGTCATCTCAAGGAAGTAATGACATAGAGACTTTTTCCCATGTGCCGATCACACCCACTCTCTGAACACAATAGTTGTGTGTCCATGAATTAGACCACAGTGCCATGGGGAGAAAAAGAGAAAATCAAGGACCCCCACTAGGCCCATCTGCTCAGATTCGGAAAACATTTTTCTGTAGTGCACTGATTTACAGTACAAGCTACCCTGCTTCTCTGATATGTACAAATTAGGTGACTTAAGAACTTAAAAATTGTAGTGCCAGAACACGATGCCTGAAAGTTTGTGGTAGGGTTATGGCTCTTCCAAAATCAAGAAGGAGTTAAGAAAACAGAAGCCAAGAGTTTCTCTCTGGTCTTCTTTGTAGATTACCATGTTATAGGAGGGAAGGAAATTAGAGGGAGGCTTGGAAAGGTAGCTTATAAAATCTTTAAGAAAACATTCTCTCTCTGAGTCAGGTCTAGAAAAAATTAGAGGGCCACAATAATTGGGTTGTTGTGTGGGGTTTTTTTTTCCCCCTTGTTCAGGAACAATATTAATCATAAATAGCTCACTGAAAGAACTATCTAAGTGTTTGTGATCCAGGAGAAAAGAAATTTTAATTAGGATGCAGAAGACCTGAGTTTGAGTACTACCATTAACATTAATTAGCTCTGTGATGTTGGCAAATTCAATTAAACTCTGCTGGCCTTGTTTTTTGTTTGTTTGTTTGTTTGTTTAATTTGTAAATTAAGACAGCAAAAAGAAGTTTTAACTAGACAACTCACTAAGCTTTCACAGGAATTTCTCTGCACGTGAATATTTTTCTCCAAAGACAAAACACATAGTTGTCACTATTTAACTTCTCAGTGTCCTTAGTTGGGAGCTCAGGATATGCTGGATCCTCGTGATCACACGTTGGTGGGGAATGGATCATAGGCAGAGCGCTGGGGGTAGAGATTTGGCTCAAGGGTCCAGGGCATTATTATACACCCTGTCTTGGTTCGGTAAGGATCCATATCCATTGATATCCAAATGAGGAGCATATAAGTAGTATTCAGGAATACTTAATCTAGGACTAATTAATATGTTTTATAGGGAGTACCAAGAGCAGCTGCATGGAAACAACTGAGTATCCAGTGACAGCCCGGGATAAATACCGACTGCAGCCTAGGTGCAAGGTGTGGGGCCCAGCTGGGAAAAGTAGGAACCAGTCTCCATGGCTTCAGAGGAGGCTTTTACTAGGAAGGTAGAGCTGAGGAGGAGGAAACTAAGGCAGAAATCCAGGCAGAGAGTGCAAAATAATAAAGGTGCTACCTGATGGGAATTTAGGCTTACCTATATTTGGTGAAGCAATGAGTAGGTCTTGAGTCTTCTGTCTCGTGAACCAAGGTTACAAATGTCTAAGCTGAGAGCACGGTGAGAAGTGAGCTGCTAGAGATCTGCCCTCAGCCAAGATGGAGTAACAGGTCCCATTTACCCCCACACCTAAAACAAATGCAAAATTGGACAAAGTAGATGAAACACTGATTTTAAGACAATGGAGACAGGTAACCAAGGGCAGTGATTTCTAGGATGTAGGAGACAATTTGGTGAACCCCACAGTTGCGCCCAGTGAGAGCATTTTCAGGCTGCAGTACGGACAAGGAGGGGAAACATAGGCAAAGCCTGGTAGAATCCTTGAGTTGACGAAACAGTCTGGGGAGCCCCGGGTGGCTATATTTTCAAGGGCTGGAGAGGAAAAAGTTGCACAGAGAGAACTTTGCACACATACAGAGCATCTCCATTGAATGTCCAGCAGAATACTGAATGTTGGTAGGGCCAAATACTTGAGGCCAGGGAGAAATCCATCCAAAAGGATTGGGGGGAGCAGTACTTGGTACTCACACAGAACCATTAATACTGCCTGCTGTTGGGGCGCCTGGGGGCTCAGTCATTAAGCGTCTGCCTTCAGCTCGGGTCATGATCCCAGGGTCCTGGGATCGAGCCCTGCATTGGGCTCCCTGCTCCGCAGGACCCCTGCTTCTCCCTCTCCCACTCCCCCTGCTTGTGTTCCCTCTCTCGCTGTGTCTCTCTCTGTCGAATAAATAAATAAAATCTTTAAAAAAAAATACTGCCTGCTGCTATGATTATCCTGAGTGTAAAGGAGAACCAGTAAGGAGCCTGAAAAAGGACAGTGATGGGGTCAGATTGGGTACAGCATGGTGAACTGATCAAAGGGAGGAAACCCAAATCTAAATAAATGTACAGAGGCGCCTGGGTGGCACAGTTGGTTGGGCATTGGACACTTGGTTTTGCTTGGGTTGTGATCTCAGGGTCGTGAGAGGGAGCCCCACGTGGTCTCTATGCTCAGTATGGAGTCGGCCTGGGGCTCTCTCCCTCTCCCTCTGCCCCTCCCCCTCCCCCACATGCTCTCCCTCCCTCTCTCTCTCTCTAAAATAAATAAATAAAATCTTTAAAAAATAAAAATAAATAAATGTGCAAAATAACAAGAGATTATTAACTTTTTAACATTACATTTTATTTTATTTTGTATTTTTATTTTACTATTACACGCCAGGTCAATTACATGCACAATCTCACTTAATCCAATCGTGAACTGAGGTCAGAGAAGCAAATAAGTTCCTCAAGTTCACATAGAAAATAAGTGGGTGAACCAGGATTCATATGTAAATACGTGGTTCCAAAATCTGTACCTGGTCCCTAAATCATGCTGCTTCCTTGCCCAGCATTGACTAATTCAGTCCTGAAACTACCGACTGAAGTCTGACATTTGTCCTAAAAGTTGAACTTTGAGAGCAAAGCTCTTGACTTGACACTTGACAATATATAAAAATAATATTGATATAAACATAATAACAACTAGCATTTGTTTAATATTTAGTATGTAGCCAGTCTATGTGCTGTACCTGCACCCGTGCATTTAATACTCCCGTCAAGCAAGAAAGGAGTCTATTTATTTGTGCCTCTGAAGAGTCTAGCTGCCAGAACCCATATATTACCCATGCAGGCATCTCACGGTTCACTGCCCTCATATTAACCAGCCTCCTGACTTCAAAGCAGAAAAGACTTAGAAGCACACCCAAGATTAATGTGGTAAGAAAAGACAGCCCTGAAAGGAGAATAACATCACAGCTAATAAACAAGCTTCTCTTTACTGCAAGATCTTTATTTAATGTACAAAATGCAGGGGCACCTGGGTGGCTCAGTCAGTTAGGCGTCTGCCTTTTGGCTCAAGTCATGATCTCAGGGTCCTGGGATCGAGCCCCGCTCAGCGGGGAGCCTGCTTCTCCCTCTCTCTGTGTCCCTCCCCCTCCACTTATGCTCTCTCTCTTGCTTTCTCTCTCTCTCCAATAAATAAATAAAATCTTTAAAAAATTAATGTATAAAATGCAGAGACCCAGAGTGGTTCCTCAATACTAGGGACAGCTGGAGACTTAGCCAAGGTAATGTGAACTTTGATACTCTTCTGAGAACTGCATGATTTAAATATCATGTGCGGAGACTTATTTTCCTGTTTTGTGGTCAAGTGCAATGCTTAGCAAAATCTACTAATCTTGTTGGGTCCTGCTCCTCAGGTACAAGCCATTGGGTATTCTTTGAGTCCATGATTCCCTAGCATCTTTTCTGCCCACAACTATCTACCCACTTCTCCTTTTTGCTGTTTCAAGACAAAAACAGTAATGAATTACGATGTGCTAACCAGTATGAAGTTCCCCACTTTCCAGTTAAGAGAAGGGAGAGTGGACATTAAAGTTTCCCATTGACTCAAAAAAGAAACAACAAAATAAGAGTTTCCAGGCAGTGTAGCTCCTGAGGGGGGTGAGTGTTGACTGACAAAGTGATAGTCTCCCTATTAAGACTCTCATTTAATAATCGTATATTTCTCTGTGTGTGTGGGGGTGGGGAGGACGGAAACAGGGATGGAGAAGGACAGATGCGGAGTATTACTGCATATTTTGTCAATCCTAAGAAAGCTCTTGACAGACACTAATAATTGATTATAGAATTATATAATATTTTTCTCCCCGTCCCTCAGACTCTTTCTCCACAGAGATCAACTCTAGAAAACTACCAATTTATCAAACTGACATTTAAAATATATCCTATTAGCCTTCCATGAACCTGCCTCTCAACTTCAACATTTCAATGGTAGAGAATCCCTATGTTTAACACCAGCATGCCACCAGATCGTTCTAATTGTTGGAAGTTCTTTCTTGTATTAAATGTATTAAATCTCCTTTCAGTTCACATCTACCTAATTCCTAGTTCCGCTTTCTGGTCCAAATGGGAAAATCAGTGTATATTGCTCTATACCCAGAAGATGGCTTTCACACTCCTCTCTGCACATACCCTTATTCCATTCAAATCCCTTCCTCTTTTATTCAGGAATGAAGTCTTTCAAGACACAATTATTCATTGAGTACTGTATTTGGTGGTGGGGGTAAAATAGTGAGAAAGCAAGCCTTGTTCTTGGTCTTACGTAACTTTCTATCCAGCAGGTGAGAGAAGAAAGTGGCACTTACAACAAAGTGTGATATGTGCTAAGATCAGGGAAGCTCAGAGGGGTATGGAGGTGTAAAGGAGGGGCCAAAAACCCTGGAAATCTGGAGCAGGGGCTTTTGAGAGCTTTTAAGATAAAGTGAAGCCTGAGCTAACCCCTAGAAGAACAAGCAGGAATAGCAGGCAAGGGGTGGGTAGAGGGCAACTGTGTAAGTGGTAATCAGAGGCAGGAAAGTGATGTAGTAAAAAGAGTTGAATGCCCAAAGGATAGAAAATACGAATCAGCAAAATCCGCTAGGGTGCCTGTGTGTGTGTGTGTGTGTGTGTGTGCGCGCGCACGCACGTGTGTCTGGAGAAGTATACACATACAAGAACCTGAGGACTTTTAAAACCTTATTAGGTGATTTGGACATTATTCCCAAGGCTTTGGGGTGTACTGCAGCAGGTACAACGTTAGCACACTTGTATTTAGACGGACCACTCTCCGGCATGATGGATAATGCATGGCAGGCCAGGAGCCCTGTCAGGAGCCTATTACTTTATGAAGCAAGAGGAGGTGGGTAGAAATCAAGATAGTGGCAGGATGGTGGCATTATCTTGTCATCATGATGGTCACTCTCAGCTAATTAAGTTCAGTTCTTCAAAGTTCCTTTGATGATATAATACCTCAAATTGAACAAAATATTCCAGTTGTGACCTGACCATTGCTGAATAAGGATGGGCTATCCCTTTGCTTGTTTTGAATACTGCAGAAAATGGTTAGCATTTACTTTTTGATAGCTGGATCGCACTGTTTATTAATATTAGGATTGCAATAGGCTAGAACATATTAATCCTTTTGGGGGCTATATAGGCACAGATATTCTTTCCCTGACCATTGCGATATTTTTTTTTAGTCCAGGTGCAGAATGTTGCATTTATGTCTGGTATAAGAAATGCATTTTAAGTTTTTCCCAGTGTTCCAGATTGCTGAGAACATTTCGGATTTTAGCTCTGATACTCAGATGATAATTCAGATTAAAAAGACTGTGGTCTTTAAAGTCAGACAGACCTTGGTTAATATAGCGGCCTGGCCACTTATTAGCATTAAATGCTGAAGGACTCGGCTTTCCTAACTGTAGTTTAGTTTTGTTTTAATGTATTTATTGATTATGTTATCACATGATATATGACTCTTTCTCTCTATATACACACACATACATATATATTTCTATATATATATATACACTAGTGCCCCCTTATCCATGGGGATATGTTCCAAGACCCCCAGTGGATTCCTGAAATCACAGAGAGTACCAAACCCTAAATATACTATGTTGTTTCCTATACATACATACCTATCATAGAGTTTAATTTATAAATTAGGCACACTAAGAGATTAACAACAATAACATAATAAAACAGAACAATTAAAAAACTTACTGTTATAAAAGTTATGTGAATGTGGTCTCTATCTCAAAGTAACTTATTGAAATCTATTGACCCTTCTTGTGACCATGTGAGGTCATAAGATGCCTGCATAAGACGAAGTGAGGAGAATGACCCCTCTGTTCCCTTAACTGGGAGAGGTAGCTGTTTCCCATGATTACTGTCTCCGTGTTACCTCTGTGCTTCCTTTTGGCTTTTCAGTTCTCCCTGATTAGCCAGTTTTCTATATAAAATTTCATATGTTAAAACCTGGTGTGGATCTGATTTCCTTACTAGACCCCCTTTTCATCCCAATGTCCTATCACTGGAAATTTTTATATTCTTTGGGCTAAATAAAGGGCAATCATTCCAGGTTGTTGGTATTTCCACCATGAAAACTATCTCTTAGTACTGGGGCAAAACAGCTACAGAAATGTGGCAGACTGCTTTCCAATGTGCACATCCAGCCCCCCAACTTCATAAACAGAAGTTTATTAGCCTTTGTGGTTTCCTGTCTTGGGTTTTGTTAATGGGGCTTTGAATTGACCCAACAGCAGAAATGAATAGCTATTCAGAAG